GAATTGAAAGACGGCGATTTATCTCAAATAAACACATATCAGAATATCACTAACACAATTGATTCACTGTTTTAAAATAAAAAAGTTTGATCTTTGAATGTCGATGTAGGGGATTGACAGATATGTCAGTTGCGCAGAATTCTATTAGATGGAATAAGTAAATAAATAAATATGCTGTTTTTTAAGCATTTCTGACTCTAAAAGCTGAAATAATCACAATTGAAAAAGAATTAGCATTTTAATTAGTTAGTATTCTATTATTCTTGATATTTAAACTATTTCTTTTTTGTGCAATTTTTTATAATATTTATTCGATATCCACCTTTTTTTCTTTTTTTTTTTCATTTCCTTTGTTAGTATATTAATCAAAGTTGACCTTAACTTTGCTTTGTTTTGAAAGATTATTTTAGAATAAGAGACAAAGATCTCAGACGATAAAAAAAACCCAAGAATAAGTATTAGTTTTCTTTTATTAAAAAATGAATTCTTTAAATGCGTAAGATTTGCTTGCTTATTATATGAAATTAGCAAAATTAAAGTACATGAAAAATATAGTTCACCTCGAAAATAATAGAAAATTTTATTCCTTATATTTTAATGCAAAAAAAAAAAAAGAAATGTAATTGAAATTGATACGACAAAGCTAGCTCTACAGCCATATTTTATTAATAACTTCTTTCATGTTTATTTCTTTTTTTCAATTAGTCACCAGTTTAAATTATTTTCTATGGTTTTCTTTTTAATTCTCTTAAAATGTTTTTTAATTAGTTTTTATTCTAATTCTTTTATTACTTCAAATGATATACAATAAATTATATTTTAAGCTATTGCAATTGTTTTAAAAATAAGATATTCCTAAAGGTTGATGGATAAAAAAATATAAAGTAGTTTCAAGAACATAAAGGGGCAGTACCATAACGTCTCTTAAAATATTTCAATATCTAACAGAAATAATGGATAATAATTTAAATGTATAGGTTTTAAGATAGAGAGAACAAAAAGGTCATAATATACTAACATTTATAACAATTTAAATTTTTCGTAATTGTCTTTAAAATTAAACTATACATATTTCTTATTTTTTAATCATAATGTTTAATATACTAACATACATAATCATTTAAACTTTTCTTAATTGTCTTTACAATTTAACTACATATATTTCTTCATTGTATAGTTTAACTGTTTTATTAGTAACTTTTATCTGTGTGTGTTTATTTGTATTTAACTCTCGTGAAACAATTATTTCTCAATTGATAGATCAAGAAAGTGTTCAGAAGAAACTTTTCAGCATCAGATGCTTACAACATCGTTTCCATCGTTTTAGAGGCCGCAGTATCCTAGTGGTCATGGTTATGAACTGAAGGCCAGTGAATTATGAGGTTCAGTCCTTGTGTCATTGAAGGTTCAGCGTGTAGAGGAGCTTATGCAGCGTAAAATATCTCGGGGCTTGAAAAGCCTCTCATTGGCATGGTGGGGAATGCAAGAAATTCGCATACAAACAGAGCAAAGTGGGTAATCACGTGACAGTGGGGCAACATTTGCACGTGCTTATTCATTACCGTGGTATATGTAAGTTGTTGACATTATTGGGCATTAATTTTATCTACTTAAAATATATATCATCGTATTTTTTGCATTATTATACTGTATGTACTAGTTAAGAAATAATCTTAACAACTCTTTTATATGATTTTTGTTTTATTGTAATTTGTTTATCTAATTAAGTAATTGTCTGCTTCGACTTGTGTTAGCTGGTATACATTTATTTAGGTTGGATCCTAGGATGTATTTATAGTTCTTGGTACACTAAGACATATGCCTGTTAGTTATTTTAGTTTTAATTAATTTTGTAGCTCTTAATTATATATTTTTGACCAGGAATGGCTCGCAGTACAGGATAAAACTACTTCTTTTAAAAAACTTCAAATTGTATAACTATCGCGAATGACAATGGTATCATTTCCTTAAAATGCGTTAACACCTATTATCAAATATAGTGTCAGTTAGGTGTGAATAATACAGAAAAAATGTCTATTTCTAATGTAAATAACCAATTCTATGTCAAGAGAAAGTATTAATTCTGAAGTAATAAAATTTGATAATAATTTGGGGGAGGAATGTTTACAAAAATTAAAGAAATTTTTCTTTGATTTTTACCTTCCACAAATTATCAATTTCAAAATTATTAATACTTATTCTTTGTTGTTAAAAATTGTCAATACTTTGCTTAAATTAAAATAAAATATTCTTAGGGGGTGTGATACCATTGCAAAAGTAAAAATGTTTAGAAATAAATAAATTTAATTTGATGATTTTTAATCATCTTAATTTTTAAGTACATGTTAAACTTGTAAAAAGTTCATTTCTTGTAGCCTGTGTATATAGAATATTAGTTAATATGAAACATTTTGATAAATGTAGAGTATTATCTCTTAGTGAAAGTGTATTTTTTATCAGTATTAGTGTATTTTTTTTATACTTCATTTTTTTTCTTTTGAAATCTCAGTTTCTTTGAAATTGACTACTCAAGAAATAATTGTTAGTTTTTCCCTGAATTAACTATTTCCCTTTTGTGCACAGATTCTTAAAGTAGTTTAATTCCTGAAAATCAGTATTATGTAAGTAAAGATAACTATTGATATGAGTTAATGATTTGTAGATTTCATAGATGTATCTGTTTTACAATGTTAAGCTTTTTAAAGTAATTAGTAATTTTGTTCAAAGAACATTAGAGTTGATATGGAAGTATTTGATTCACATATACTTCACATATACATATATCCCATGATGAAAATGAATTTTTTTACAATTTCATTAAAATTTCATGTTTTATAATAGTATGGCTTACCAATAGGGACGTTGAACACTATGCGAAACATTATAAGTGCCAGACGTTTGAGATGATCCAGTAATTTTGGTTTGATTTATCAATACTATAGAAAGTTCTTAAATTATTTTTTTCCTTTCTACTTATATGCTTGTATACCTGTACTTCACACGGATGTGAATTTATATACACAGATTATGTTATACATGAACTTTCTCATTTTTTCCCAGTAGTTCAGTATTTAGAGATGTAAAGTAACAATTTTCTATAAAATAGAATATTTATTTACATCAAATTTGCCTACCTACACTTAAAATTCAAATGAATATTTTAATTTAGTTATTTGATGAAAATGAACTTTATTTTTATAGTGTATTGCATATAAATACTTCATATATATATATATATATATATATATATATATATATATCTTACAATATTATAAAGCATTTCAAAAGGTTTTTCAAAGTTTAAAGAAATTCTTATACTATACATCTACTTTTAAAACAAGTGCATTTTATTTACTTATGTGCCTCATTATTGTGAACAAATATGTAATTTTAAAATAAAGTTTCTGTAAAAATAAAAGTTGGCAATGGCGAAGAGTATCAACTGATTGGCTGGAAGCACGATTGCAGTTATGGTGTGACTATGACGTCACAAGAATTTAACCAGTTTGTTTTTGCCAGTTGTTGTTTTTAAATCATTTTAATTAGGTATTTGGTAATTTATTTTTAACGGTTAAATATTACAGTCCTCTTAGCAATATTTAAATAAATCTTTTAAATCATAAAAATAGCAAAATAACCTGTAGTTCAGTTCTTTCCTCCGTGATCATTGCAGTTCAGTTTTTTTAATTTGGATGAATTACACAAATGAAACAAAATCATAAAATGTTTAACTGCTATCCTAAATTTAAAATTTGTGTGAATATAATATTACTTTATACCTTTTTTGTCTGTGTCTCTTTGTGGGTTGTTTCATTTACTATTTCTTAAAATTTTGCAGTCCCTTCTAAAGTAGATTTAGTTTCATCTTTGGAGTCTTATAAACTCTGCATAAAATCAATAAAATAATCTTTTTAAGGAAAACATGTTATACTTAAATATTAAGCATTAAAAAAATCAATGAATTCAGTAAACGTGTTTTGGTAAAACGACATAAAAATATCACCAACTTAGGATTGACATTCAAATTACATTTGCGATCGAAGAAACATTACAGAATCAGCCAAAAGAAACTTTTGAAATCTCTCAAATAACTTTATTTCTGAAAAAAATAATATGCTCATTATAACATAAAGAGCTAGAAAGATGAAAATTTTTTATTGAAACGAAAAAATTAAGTAATATATTAAATAAATAAATACATAAATATCTAGGTAACGTAATCAGTATTGTGTGTTTGACTACAGATAAGCAAGATTATTGTTCCAGCACAACCCCCTTTTTTTTGCTGAAGTCATTTACTGAGCCACAATAACTATTTTTTACATTCTATAACAGATTAACTTCAAAGAATACTCCATTGTTGCACCTATTTATAGAAAGCCAATAATGGAGCTAGTCTAGACTAGAGTCTGTATAGATTTCTCATTCACGGAAGAAGTGTATTTATTTATTTTATTTATAAACGGATTTTGATTGATTGATTGAAAGTAACAACAAAATAAATTAATAAGAATGATTTGATGGATAAATCCTTTAAGAGCAAATGGGGAAAGGAGATTTGTGAAAGGAATTAAAATAGTCAGTGTGACTTTCAACAAAATTTTTATGAGGAAATAAAATAAAGCAAATGCTAATAATAATGAAGTGAGCAAATTAATATTGGTATGAATACAATAATGCATATTAATAATACATGAATATATTCTTTTTTAAATCGCGAAAGATTAAGAAGAATTGTATTATTATAGTTTTTTTTCAATTCCTACTATTATATATATATATATATATATATCTTTTTAAAATTTTCAATCGTTAATAAAATACATTCTATTCATTCATTCAAGTTCAAATGTATTTTTTAACATGTAGTGGATGCTACTCGATGTTAATAAAGTTATTCTTATATTATTTCATTAACTAAATTAAAAAAATGAATAAATAGTAACAAACAAAAATAATAGTCCAACAGCATATATAGAAAGGAAACTCTCATTCGTTCTGTTCCGGTAGCGCATTGGATAGCGCGTTGGACTTCTAATCCAAAGTTCATGGGTTTCAATTCCACCTGGGGTGGCCTACTTTCTGTGAGAATGTAGTTTTTTGTTTACTATACTACTTTATTAGAATAATTAAAGTTAATTAATGAATAAGTAGTAACAAACAAAAAATTGTCCAACATCGTATGTAGAATGGAAAATTGCAACGAAAATCGCTTTTTATTTTTTACTTATTATTGTGATTATGGCATATGTATATACATATTTATATTGATTGTGTAACTATATATTTAATAAAAAGTAACTAAAAATTTTTTCTTCTTTGTTTACCTAAGAATAAATTGACTTAATTTTTTTTTATTACTTATTTCCAGATTTAAATTGCTTGCGTATTTCTCTATCTTATAAACATTAAACTAAATAAAAGCAATAATTTACTGAACTAGATGCGAATATTTTCAAATTTACGTTAATGGCAATATCGTTTCATTTAGATCTTTTTACGTTTTGTTCTAAAAAATCTTCTTAAGGTGAAAACCCTAATGGCGATGCAGACTATAAAATTATAAAATGTATATCTTTAAATTAGATTAAGTTTCTTGATATTCTGAAAATTCTTATTGGTAAAACTCTCATCAGAATCAGTAAAGAATTAACGAAATTAACGAGCGACCAATCTATGTATAAGCCCCAAAAGATCCTTTTTTTTTCTTTACTAATTTATCTAAAACACGAAACTTGCACATAAAAGAATTGAAAAACAAACTTCAAATCACTATAACTTTTAAACATATCACCATGAAGGCGATAACATTGTTAAAAAAATGAAATATTTTCCATAGAAGTTAAGATAAAGTAAAACGCCATACGTCAACGACGATAGTTTTATTTCTGGTAGGTAAATCAATTTTTACATTCATTTGTTATCTTGTACACTGTCTGTGCCAGTCAGATTTTCGGTGACAATTATTTGCTTCAGAAATGAGCGAGAAAGAAAATTCGTGCACGCCACGGGATCAGCAATCAATAGTTTATGCCCTGGAGGAAGAGCTTGTGGCATGATGACCTAATGCAGTGATACTCAACCTGCGTCCCACTGGGCCTTTTTAAGTGGCCCGGTCACACACATGGACCATTGCTCTAAAAAATTCATTTATTTATAAAATTTGGTGGGAAATTTCTTTGTTAAAAAATCGTATAATATCAATTTTGATTTTTGCTGTCGATGTCGTATGGGGGCGAATTTATATTTTTTTTCTGATTAGTGATAATAGACAACAGTGGAGTAGCGACCATTCTATGAGTGGAACTAATTTTTATCTATCTTTTATATCTTGCAAGTGAAAAATATTCGACGAAAAATTATGGTATCAAGACGACTGGGAGGTTGGCTATTTTGTAGTGGAATACAAAGATGAATCCGTAACTGTTTGATTTATCACAAAATTGTAGTATTTGAAAAATTCCAATAAATAGGAATCGTTCAATGACACTTTTCTTCGAAGATTACTTTCAAGAGGTGATAAATAGGCCTTCTTGAATAATCTTTGCAACAGCAAAAAAGTGTTTTGTCAGTGGTAATATTGCAGCGGTAACAAACACATCATATGAAGTTTGTTATATTATTGGTAATCATATGAAACTGTTTACTTAGATACAGAAATTGGAAAGGAGGGCAAAATAGACAAATATAAAAAATAATACCTAAAAAAGCTAAACAGAGAAGTTATAACATTTTGATCAATTTTCCACATTTTAAATTTTTAATGTTATCTTGGTCTTAAAGCATTTCTCCCCCCCCATTTATCCTCATGTTGCGGCCCGCGTGAAATAACTTATATATGTATGCAGCCCGCATGAAACAACTAACATATGTATACCGCCCGCGTGAAATAGCTGATATATGTATGCGGCCCAGCAGAAAAAGAGGTTGAGTACCCTTATCTAAAGAATTCAGACAACCAAATGAGTGGATGAGAATTTTACGAGTAATTCTAACTATTTAGAGCCTGATTTTTTGAAGAATTTATGTGATTTTTTAAAATTAGAACAAGAATGCCATTAAAACACAGAAAAAATTAAAAGCTAACGGAAAATTCGTTTTTCCTTAACTAAATTATTAACGTATTTAAGACGACTTCCTTACTTGAACTTTAGGAAACTATTTAAAAATCTGAGTTTATAATCAGAAATATTCGATAACTGTTCTTTTTAGACTGAATTTAATTTAATTTTTGTGTAAAAGTTAAAAAAAAATTTTTTTTTTGAAACACCCAACTTATATTTACACGGTGCAAAATCTAACGATATTTTCTTTTGCTACACAGTTCATTTATTCTAAAGGAACTTAGCATTCGTGTTTGTTCTCAGGTTGCAGACGAAATTCATCAATTAACTGCTAGATTAATTTTTGAGGGCTCTAAACTAAAATTCTGTTCTGAAATCGAGTATTAGCAGAAAATAAATTTTGTAAACATAAACCTAAATATAGAATACGACCTAAATTCCAACCAGATATATGTACCTTTTAAGCTGAGTTCCAAAAATTCTATAAATAACATACAAAACTAAGTGTAAAAAACAAACAAAAAAATGAAAGAAACAGATTTTCTGATAGAACAAGTCCGCAACCTCACTTGGGGTGGATTTTCGCGAAACCCGTCCTTAGAGAATCTCTACTCTAAGAAAGAAACTTCTGTGCTAAGTTTCAAGTCTGTGGGTCTAATATAATAGTTTGAAAGATCAAGTGATGAGTGAGTCACTTTCCTCACATAGAGAGCTAAATGTAGACCATGGATAGCCTAGTGGTTAGAGCATCAGACTCCAGATCGGAAGGCCTGGGTTCTATGCTCGATGCCACCAAATAACCTCCGAGTACACACGGAGTACGTGCTCGTTAAATCAGTGGGTCCGAAAGTCTTGTGGGCTGAATCATGAGTACAGGGGACTGGAGAATATTTCCCTCCCCTTCAGTTCCATGCCAAAATTGTGGAGGTGGAGATAGGAGGTCTCGCCATCTATCGTACCTTTGGGGAATTTCGCCGAGCTAATTCATGCTGTCACCTATATGGTGCTCAAGGCCTGGGTCAACGACAGGCGTACTTCTAGCCCCTTGACACGATGAATTTCGTGGGCCTCGTTCTGACATGTGGCACAGATAGCTAAATGTACATTATTAATTTCAATAAAATCTATTCAGTATTCATAGAAGATAATTAACCAAAATTCTTTTAGTGTTGGACCAATGTATATAAAATGTTGTTTTGGGTTTTTAAAATTGATTTATGTCATATTACTTTCAGCTGTACATTTCGAATAACGTTTATCTCATTTTTGGATTTCATTTAAAAAGAACTGAATTAACTTTAACCTACTACAATTTCAAAAGTTTGAAATTTTTGTATATTTAAGAGATGCAGTTTGTCCAAGGGTACTTAAATACTCCTCATCCGGGATTTTCAGCGAGTGACAGCGAGAATTTTTCATCGAAGTAGGGAATTTAGATTCCTGAAAATATTAGATAAAGAACAGAGGTTAGAAAAGCCATGTGCAATGTGTTGCTTGAGAAGAAATGAAAATGGAAACATAATCCAAAAAAAGCCGACATTACCTCAATCCCCATTACAATGTTACACAAACACACACAGACACACACAATCCTCAAACTTTTGAAAAAAAAAAGTATGGAGATAAAAGTTTTTGTAAGTCTGAGAGAAATTCTTTCGGGATAAAAAGTCTTTCGGGTGTGAAACGTTCTTCATAGCATGAAGATTGTACCTATGAGAAGCAAGCATTTCCAATTTTTGAGTTCAACAATTATGGAATTAAAAAGGAAATAGTGGGAAAATTTTAAAATTAAAAATTAAAATAAAATTTTTCCATTTTCGCATTCTGTGTGAAATATTATGCTAAGTTTTATGCAATAAAAATGTTTTTTTCCGAACATTTTAGGCAAAAAATTTAAATTAAAAATTTATTTTTAGATGGTCATTAAAAAGGGTTAAGGTTGCGACATAGCCATCCTGTGATGACTATGTCGTTCCGGTTCCGCGTAAGCTAGAGGTGTGGGATTATCAAAATGTTGAGACATAGTAGTTCTTAATACAACTTTTATTAAGAATAACTTATATTACTTAATTCTAATTTGACAACTATATTTAAAGTGAGAGTTAACACCCAATTAAACCTTGTATTTAAGTCAGATCACGCAACTAGATCCTTTATCTTAATTATAATTAATAAACCGATTCCTCTAAATACCTATGTCAAATATTACCTTTTGCAGACCTCCTTCCTTCACCTATAGAGAGATATTTATAATTCACTTTATATACGAAGATTCCAACTTCTTTATATTGGGTTTCTATTCCTTCCAAAGCTATCGGACTGCTAGCTCTTGATCTGAAAGATTCCACACTAAGCTATCTCTAAACTTGCCGCGCTATTGATCAGAATGATTCCACACTACTATCTCTAAGCTTGCCGCGCTATATCTTATCATCAAAGCTTCTATCCTTTTAAAGTATATCTCATTTACATATTTGATCCGTTTCTCTTCTTGGTATTGGGTTGGAAAAGTTTTGCCATTAATCGTGGCCGTCAAAGAACATAGGAGTTATGTTAGCAGAAGGACGCGAGAGACGTCACAAGGTATCCGACTACATTCGGAACCGTGATCTTAAAAAGCGCATTAAAGGATAATTTTCATGATATTTAGTGTCACTTAGATTAGAATACATGTATAAAATTGTTTTAAGGACATTTTGACAAAAGACATTTATTTAAATACAATACTTCGGCATAAAACTTTTGGTTCAAAATTACGTGGTCCGTCGCCAAAAGCCCTCGTGTAGCTGAACAGTGCGACGTTAATATTCAATCAATCAATCGGCATAAAACTTACTTGGAATAACCTTTTTTCAAAATGTTCTCCTTTTGTCAAAATTGCTTCTATTATAATAATAATTTGCCTGTATATAGCTCAGATCTCTGTATAGAGGCTCAACTATGATTTTTGAAAAATTCACATTGTTTTCAGTTACAACCTATTGAAATAATTATCGGCGTTTTTTTTCT